TATATATATATATATATATATATATATATATACTGTATATATAAACATTTATCTATCACACCTTTTTAAAATTTTGCTAAAAAATGAAAAGTGCCAATATTCAATATCACCACTCAATTAATATTTCATAAAACATGCCTATATATTAATCATAAAAGAATGAGCAAAATGCTGTTTAAAAATGTTCAAGTTCCCATATTTTTGACAATTTTTCCATGACTTTACCAGGTGTTTGTGATCAGGTCTCTACTTCACATAATTTCTGAGAATAACTAGATGTCAACATTTTATTCATTTCTGTGACTTTTCCTGGCCTAAAACGTTTGAGATTCCCTGATATTCCCAAATTTTCCAGCACAGTGGGAACCCTGCCAACTAACAATCTCCAAAGTCATGTCTGCAGCCAAGAAGTAAACCCTGTTAAAACTTCTTGGTATTTGAACAACTTCTGTTCTGTGTGTCCCTGCAAATCTCTGTCCGTCTGAACCCTCTTTTAGTCTAGCAACTATTTTCTTGTCTAAAACATTGTAAATCTGGTTTAAAAGTGGACCGCTTTTAAAGGGGGAGACGTGGAGATGGCAGACATCGAGACTGCTGTGTAAACAAGTGCGGCACTGTCGTCACAGACTGCTGGCTAACTGTGAAACAGCCTGTGCCAGGCAGCATGGAGCTCAACGAAAACAAGAGCATTCACATCTACTGACTGCCACTGACATGCAGTCGCACGCTGTATATAAGACCAGTTTCCTGGCAGAGCACGTCTGAATTTCTCCCGTAATGATGATTCTCTGCTGAAAAAATCTGGTCTAGGTTTGTTTGTGTACAGGATATCAGTTTGTGAAATTTCCCGGCTGTTTAATATTGATCTGTACTGTTTATGATGTCTTTGACTGCATGTGTTTGAAGAGTATTTTAAGGCTATTTCTGTGAATCATGTGGGTGTAAGATGACTTGTAGGCTTTTGTATCATTTAGTTCCAAACATGAGTCATATGATGGATTTTCTTGCTCTTTTGAATACAAGTATAAAATGAAATAAAACAAATAAATAAATAGGAACAAATTAATTAGGGTTAGCAATTAAAAACATTTATTAAATAAAAACATTAATTAAATTAAAATATGAAATAAAATAAAATATAGGGTCAGTAATATAGTAATATGAATAAAATACAATAAAATAAAATAAATGAATAGGGTTAGGGTTAGGGTAAGCAAGCAAATCAAATCAAATATAGGGTTAATGCTAAAATCTAATTAATACAATTATGGTTCAAATAAAATAAATTAAAATAATAAAATAAAATATTAAATAAAATAAAGGGTTAGTAAAAAAATAAAATTAATAGAGTTAGGGTTAGCAATCAAATCAAATATAGGGTTAATAATAAAATACAATTTTGAACATTTTGGTTAGAAATAAATTAAATTATAAAAAATTATAAAATAAAGGGTTAGTAATAAAATAAAATTAATAGAGTTAGGGTTAGCAATCAAATCAAATATAGGGTTAATAATAAAATACAATTTTGAACATTTTGGTTAGAAATAAATTAAATTATAAAAAATTATAAAATAAAGGGTTAGTAATAAAATAAAATTAATAGAGTTAGGGTTAGCAATCAAATCAAATATAGGGTTAATAATAAAATACAATTTTGAACATTTTGGTTAGAAATAAATTAAATTATAAAAAATTATAAAATAAAGGGTTAGTAATAAAATAAAATTAATAGAGTTAGGGTTAGCAATCAAATCAAATATAGGGTTAATAATACAATAAAATTAATAAAATTATGGTTAGGAATAAAATAAAATCAAATAATAATAAAATCAAATCAAATAAGCACCTTTAAGAATAAAAGATGAATTCTTGACTTACACTCATGAGCCCCCCCACCAGGTCATTGGTGTGGGGATCGTCCTCTTTTGAGGCCAGTTGGGGTGAGTAGAGTTCGGTGGTCCTCAGAATCTCCAGAACGCGATCCAGAGCTTCCGCTACTGTCACAGGACTGCTCTCCTGCGCTGCGTTAATGATATTTATCACCTATAAAGACAACAAAATACATGCATAACAAGAACAGAAGGTGAGAGAAAACAACAAACCACTACTCAAAGGTTTACATCCATAAATATCTCTGTAGTAAAGAATTTTCCCCTCTGGCGTCTGTTTTGCTTCCATTTTCACAAACAAATCATCAGTTATGATGGAGTAATCATAAATACACAGAGACAAAGTGGTTCAGCACGTCTCAGGGTTGTGTGCCATTGAGAATGGAATTGAGAAGACCTTTTACATTCCAATTCGATTCTCGAATTTGAACTAGATTTAGAATTGACGTAGCAGACAGGATCTAAAATTTGCATTAGAATTTGAGTAGAAATTGAATGTAAAAACGGAATTAAAATAGAATTTAATTCAAATGTAAATTTATTTATTTTTTATTTAAAATTAAAATTAAAATAATTTCAAACAACGAGAAGAGATACAATAGAGAAGCAAAGACTGTACAAACTTAATGTAATGTTAGTTTTGTTAGAACAACAGAACTACGGATGGATGGATGGATGGATGGATAGACAGAACGATGGGATGATAGAATGATAGAAAGATGGATGAATTGACGAATGGGTGGACAGAATGAAAGAGCGATAGATGGATGGATGGGTAGACATAACGATACATGATAGATTGATAGAATGATAGATGGATATACAGTGGGTACGGAAAGTATTCAGACCCCCTTAAATTTTTCACTCTTTGTTATATTGCAGCCATTTGCTAAAATCATTTAAGTTAATTTTTTTTCCTCATTAATGTACACACAGCTATTTTTTATTTAAAATTAAAATTAAAATAATTTCAAACAACGAGAAGAGATACAATAGAGAAGCAAAGACTGTACAAACTTAATGTAATGTTAGTTTTGTTAGAACAACAGAACTACGGATGGATGGATGGATGGATGGATGTACTAAATACTGAGCAAAGGGTCTGAATACTTAGGACCATGTGATATTTCAGTTTTTCTTTTTTAATAAATCTGCAAAAATGTCAACAATTCTGTGTTTTTCTGTCAATATGGGGTGCTGTGTGTACATTAATGAGGAAAAAAAATTAACTTAAATGATTTTAGCAAATGGCTGCAATATAACAAAGAGTGAAAAATTTAAGGGGGTCTGAATACTTTCCGTACCCACTGTATGGATGGATGGGTAGACAGATAGAAGGATGGATAGACGGACAGACAGACAGAACAAGATAGATAGATGGATGGATGGGTAGACAGAACAACAGAGAGAACGTTAGATAGAACAACAGACAGACAGATAAGGCAGATAGATAGATAGCTAGATAGATGATAGAACAACAACAGATAGAAAGACAGACAGATAGATAGTTGATTCTGTATTGATCTGTATTGAATCAGGTGGTTATAATTATTCATACAGGTTAATGTTTTTTTTGTCTTCAGGTGTGTATAATAATGCAGGTGTACCTTAGTGATTGGAGCTTCAATAGTCATGGAGTGGATTCTGGCCATAGAGGAATATCTGCGGTTCTGTAGACTGGGAGCTGAGAGAGAGAGAGAGAGAGAGAGAGAGAGAGAGAGAGAGAGAGAGAGAGAGAGAGAGAGAGAGAGAGAGAGAGAGAGAGAGAGAGGAGCTCTAAAAAGAGCCCCATGTGC